TGGGATTTTTGCAGTATCTTTTATCATTAACTTCTAATTTCATAGCGCTATGATCCGATAGCATGCAAGAGATAATTTCAACCCTTTTGCATCTATTTAAATATGTTCTGTGAGTTAATATATGGTCTATTTTAGAGAATGACCCATGTAACTGCTGAGAAGAATGTCTATTCTGTTGTTGTTGGGTGGAATACTCTGTATATGTCTATCAAGTCCATTTGTTCACAAGTGTGATTCAGTTCTGTTATTTCTTTGCTGATTTTCTGGCTGGTTGATCTATCCCTTGGTGTCAATGGTGTGTTAAGATCTCCTGTTATAGTTGTATTACTGCTAATTTGGTTTTTCATTTCTGTTAATACTTGTTTTATATAACTGGAATTTGGTGCATATATATTTAAGATAGTTATCTCTTCCTCTTGAAGTTTTCCCCTAACCAGTTTGTAGTGACCTTTTTTATCCCTTCTGATCATTATTGGTTTGAAGTTCACATTGTCTGCAAACAGAATAGCTATCCCTGCCTTTTCTGGGTTCCTGTTGCATGAAGTATTGTTTTCCATCCTTTGACTTTCAGTCTGTGAGTATCCTTCTGGGTTAGATGGGTTTCTTGACAGCGTATGGTTGGATTTTGTTTCTTGATCCATTCTGCCAGTCTGTTTCTTTTAATTGGTGCATTGAGACCATTTACATTAATGGTTATAACTGTTATATATTGATTTGTTGTTGACATGTTATCTTTGTGCTGTTGCATCTAATCTTTCTGTTCTGTTTAATTGGCTGCTTCGTTTAGTGTTTTTTTTCCTAAATGTATCTTGGCTGTCTTTTAGTATTCTTTGCATGGTTGGCTTGGTGGTCATGAAGTCCTTCAGCTGTTCTTTGTCATGGAAGTATCTTATTTCTCTATCGATTTTAAAGGACAGTTTTGCAGGGTGCATCAGTCTAGGTTGGAAATCATTTTCCTTTAGGATCTGAAATACTTCACTCCATGCTCCTCTTGTTTTTATTGTTTGTGCTGAGAAGTCTGCTGTGGTTCTGATAGGTTTTCCTTTATAGGTGATCTGTCTTTTCTCTCTGACAGCTTTTAATATTCTATTCTTTTGTTCAATTTCTGGGATGGCCATTATTATATGTCTGGGTGTAGTTTTATTTTGGTTATGGCTATTTTGAGTTCTATATGCTTCATTGATCTTGATATCCATTTCCAATCTCATGTTTGGGAGATTTTCAGCTATTACTTCTCTAAATTACCTCTTGACATCCTTTATGTTGTCCCCTTCTTTTTCATTTATCCCTAGCAACCTTATGTTGTTTTTCTTTGCATCATCTTGCAGGTGTTGAATTGTTATATCCTGATTTTTCTTGTTATTTTTAAAAAGATCTTTCCTTTCCTGTTCACTGGCTGCAATCTTGTCTTTGAGGACTGAAATTCTATCTTCACATTCATTGAGGCAGTATTTACAACTTTCAATGGAATTTTTGATTTCCTGTCTATCTCTTTGCATCTGCTTTATATATTCTGTTTCTTTCTTATATTGTTCATCCAGGGATTCTATCTTTTTCTTTAGTTCCTCCAGTTTTTTAACTGTGTCTTTAGATATGTTCAGCATCTCCTTCATTTCTTTTATCATTTCTTCTTTTACCTGAGAGATTATTTCTAGTTTGAATTCCTTTAAGGCTTCCCGGAGTTGCTTCTTTATTTCGGTTACTATTATTTCAGGTATTTCAGGTATGTGGCATGTATTTTCTTCTATGTACATGGCTCCTAGGCTTTCTTGGGGTGGGCTGAATGTTTGAGATTGCATTTTGGTCTTTCGTTTTGTCATTTTCCTATATTTCCGAGCTTCAAGTGTTGTTCTAAGCTTCCCCTGGGCATGCTGGAAATCGTCTCTTATGTCCTGGACTCCTGGGACTCCTCTGGTAGTGTAGCTCCCTCCTTAGGCAGCGAAGCCCCTGGATTAAGAGAAGGTTGCCAGGCTCCTCTCTGGTAGATCTAAAGCCTCCTCACACAGCTCCCCACTGTGGCAGCAAAGCTTCCCTCCTCAGCAGGGGTGCTCCCTCCCTTCAGGTGGTGGCAGTAGTGCCGGAGCTCTCCAGGCAAGGTCGGAGCAGTTTCCCGCAGCTTGGCCCAGTTCCCTCCTTCAGGTGGGGCAGCTACCATGTGCCTTCCAGGTGAGAGAGGCTGGTACAGGGTCCCGCAGCTCGGCCCAACTCACTCTTCCAAGCAGACAGCTGCAGTGTGGCCCGCAGGCAAGAGAGAGTGGTCCACCAGGCTGGAACGGGGTCCTGCGGCTCGGCCCACCTCAACCTTCCCAGCAGGCAGCTGCAGGGTGGCCAGATAATGTTTCTATGAACATTTGCATTTAATTTTTGTGTCAACGTATTTTCCATTCTCTTTGGTGTATATCTAGGAGTAGAATGGCTGAGTACTATAACAACTATGTGTTTAACTTGATGAAGAACTGCTGAACTTTTCCATGGGAGTTGTATCATTTTACATTCATTCTCCATCAATTTCTCCATATCTTTACTTGCTCTTCGTCTTATTCATCTTTTTCATGTTAATAGATATAAAGTAGTTACTCTCTATAATTTTGTTTTTTATTATCTTAATGATTAATGACAATGAACATCTTTTTACATGTTTACTGCCCATTGGTATTGTTTTCTTGGAGAAATATCTTCCTTCTCACTTGTTTCAGTAGAGCTGGGGATGACACTCAGGGCCTCACAAATGCCAGGCAGGCACTCTGCCCCTGCAGTACACCCTCGCCCCTCCTTAAATTCTGAGACAGAGTCTCACTAAGTTTCCCAGGCTGAATTTGAACTTGTGAAGACTCCTCCTTCAGCATCCTGAGTACTTGGTTTGCAGGTGTGTGCCGCTACCCTTGGCTCTTTCATCTGCTTTTAAGTTGATTATCTTTTTTATTGTTGAGTTGTGTTCTTTATGTATCCAGAGCACAGTCTCTAATCAGATGCAAAGTGTGAAAATATTCTCTTCCATTTTCTGTGTGATTGTTACTTGATGGTGGTCTTTGATGTACGAAAAGTTTGGAGTCTGATGAATCTAATTGGTTTGGGTTTTGGTTGTTGTTGCTTGTGGGTTTTGTGTCATGTCTAAAAACTCACTGCCATCGCATTGTTCTTTTGTTAACTGGATCCAGAGTTTCCTTTATTGGAAAGTTTTAAAATTATAATTCACTTTCCTCAATAGGTACTATATATAGGTTATTTTCATATTTTTTATTGAGTTTTGATAGTTTTCATCTTTTGAGGAATTTGTTCATTTAATCTAAGTTATTGAATTTGTCAACATAGAGCTATTCATAATATTCTTTTATTATATTATTATTATTATTATTATCATTGCTAGAATCTGTTATGATCTCTGCTGTTTCACTCCTAATAGTGACAATGTCTTCTTTCTTGTTTTCTTTTCCCAAGGAAGCTAGGTAAACTTTTGCCAGTTTTACTGATCCTGAAAAATTGGATTTTGGTCATTGATATTTATTTCTCCAATATTTTATGCATAGTTTTATTTTTTAATTCTGATCATTGTAGCATATAAAAACCCTTGGTATCCACATCTGTTATTGGTTGTTTCTTCTGAGTCTCATTCATGATAGTTTTTTCACACTGTATTTTTCGGTCTTTGCTTGTAGAGTTAATATTTGAATGAATATAACTGTAGACCCTTCGGCCATAAATAAGGAGTAGTTTCCTTGTGTTTTGTTTGTTTGCTTATTTTGTTTTTGTTTTTTGAGACAAGGTCTCACTATGTAGTTCAGGCTGGCCTTGAACTCACTATGTAGCACATTCTGGCCTCAAACTCATGGCAACCCTCCTGCCTCAGTCTCACAAGTTCTGGGACTATAGGCAGGCACCCCCACGCCTGGCTCCTGTAATTTCCTTTTGAGATCCAGGGTTTATGCAGGAATCCTGGCTTGCCTAGGTCTTCCATTTTGAAGTGGGCCCAAATCATAATCTCTGCATCTCAGGGCTGATATTTTTCCTGGGACAACTTTGACCTTGGGTTTGCTTGCTGAATACTAACAACTCCCACTTCATAGCCTCGCTTGTTATTTCTTGTTTATTTGTCCTTCTGTTTCCCATCTCTAGATACAGTACTTCTACTCTTCTACAAGGTCAGTAATGCTTTGAAAAGTATACTCTCAATATGAATATAGTTGTATTTTAATAGGGAATCTAGTAGTCTTGGGATGTGAAGGTCACTAATCATAAGGGTATCTAGTCTCTATAATACCAGAGAGGAAGTCCTCAAGAAAATATTTATTAAATTGATACTTTGTCCTTGATGTCACATACCAGTAATCCAAGCACTCTGGGAGGCTGAGGCTGGAGATTAAAAGTTTAAGCCCAGCCTGGACAATTTGGCAGTTTAATGAGACCCTATTTCAAAATGAAAAATAAAAAATGGGTGGGGAATGTAGCTCATGAGAACATCCTGAGTTCAATTCCTACTACCTAAAAAAGAAAAATAATATTTCCCAATGTATAAGCTACAAATTGAGCTGATAAATCTTCCTACCACTTCAAGTATTTAAGCAAGGGTGGGATAATTCTGTTAATGGATGAACTAAATGACCAGTCCAACTCAAAGATACTATAGGACTTTAGGCTTAAGATATGTGTTAGTCAGCTCTCTGTTACTGTGACAAAATATTTGAGGAAAACAATTTAAAAGGAAGAAAAGTTCATTCTGGCTCACAGTTTCTGTCCGTGGTCTGCTGGATCCTTTGTTTCCAGGCCTGTGGTGAGGCAGAAAGCTGTGGTGAAGAAAAGCTGCTTACCTCATGGCATCTAGGAAAGGGGCAGGAGGGGAGCGAGGGAGGCAAGTGAGAATATGAATGAAAACAAATATGAATGACAGCAAGAGAATACGAATGTCTGTTTACTGTTTCTCTAATGTTACTTTTCCTCTCACTTATTTTTGACTCCCCTTTCCCCTGTGGCATGGAGTCTTGTTTCCCTTGTTTTTTATACAGAGAGAGGTATGTGCAGATGCTTGACCAAATTGCCAAGCAGATGATTGAGTTCTACAAAGACTTGGTAACTCAGCGAATGATGGATCAGCGCATTTTAGAAGAATTGTATAATTTCAAGAATGTTATCGAGGAACTGACCAGGTAAAAACTGATTATCCTGAGTACAACATTCAGATCTATGTCTTTAAAGAGAGTAAAAGGTATTAATGGAAAGTGGGATGGTTAAGGGTAAAGACTTTTTTGTCTTTTCCATGTTTAGCAAGAGAATTGCAAGAACTGGATATTATTGTAGATAGATGCAGAGAAATTGGTTATGCAGACTACCACAAAACTAAAGCTCTATATATTTGCTCTTTCTTCCAAGACACAGATGTTTACCTTTATCAGGTTTACAGAGCCATGCATTAATTATGGATATTAAGATTCAAATTCCGAAGACAATAAACATTGAACAGTGATCAAGGTTGGGTTAGGGATCCTCTAACTTCGTGGTATGATACTTGGTGGCAAGAATAAGGGGGCAGGATAACCAGATCAGAGAGTGATCTGGCTGTCAGCATCTGCCTGCGCTCTACCCTCACAGATGCCCCGCCATGTCCTCTTTCTGCCTTTTCCTGCCAGCTTGACTGCTTTGCAAACTTGGTGAGATTCCACCCAGAATTATACTAAATTTCTTAACTCAGTCTGTGAAGTGGAAAAACTAGGAAACTGAGAAGATGTCTGAGTGTGAATCTGATTTCCAGGGTAGAACTTGTTGGAAGTCTCCAATTATGAATCTGGAATTTCTTTGCTTTGTTTCAGGGAACTGTGTCTGGTTCGGTCACATGACATGAAATTAACAAAGGAATCAGAGAAAGCCCACAAGGATTTGGCACAAGCTGTTTTAGATGCTGAAAAGAATGCCAAGTGAGTGGCTTAAAATTGATATAGTGTATGTAGGGGAAAGGAGAAAAGCATATATTGCTTCTGCAATAGTATAGTCTGCCAAAATATGTATATGTCAGGAAAAGAAAAGCTCGTATAAATATTATAATGCTAAATTTATTGAGATATCATGAGGTTAATACAAATTACCTTTGGTGTCTACAATTACAACAGCCATTAGCTTCCAGCCAGCAAACTGCTAATGTGTGTGTATATATATATTTTTTTTATTTAAGAGGAAAAAGAGAAAAACACAAAACAAAACAAAGCAGTGTAAGGTTACACATAATACAGAACTACAAAAAAAAACATAACAGTAAGAAATCACCTGTTAATAGATTACATATTATCATCTTGGAAATAGTTGCTCAAATCACAGTATCAAAGAATACAAAGTAGACATTCAAACAGAGAGACTGCAAACAGCTGTGTTCAATGATCCAAAAACATTAATATAGTCAGCTATTTAACAGCCCTATACACACTTGCTGTTATATCCGCTAGAGCTCTTTTTTTTCCCTTCCTCTCTTTTTTACAACAAAATTTACACATTTTGGATTTAATTACTCCTTAGTATATTTTTGATTAACTCTGTATACATGATGCCAACTTTCTGAATTCTAGAAACACATATAGTTTTTTTTTTTTATCTGAATTTAGTTGATTTCTCATTCTAGTTGGAAAGAAAATAAAACCTGTCTTTTCCTCTGGGAGCATACAGATTGTTGGTTTCAGCATTAATCATGTTGTTGAATGGTGTTGGCAGGCAGTTCCTCTCGGGTTCTCTAGGGGAAGGTGTGCAAAGGGGACGTGCATAGCGCAGCCCCAGAACTGCCCTGCTCACGGTGCCGCTTTGGGGCAGTCACGTAACTTTTCTGGGCCTCCAGCTGCCCCTACATAAAATTGAAATTTTGATATTGCCTACTTTTTTAGGGTTTTTATGAGGATTAATGGTATTAATATAAATGACACATTTAGATTGGTGCCTGGCATCTTAGTATTCAGTAACAACAGAATCAGATACTTTTATTTTACTACTTTTCTGTAAAATTTTATGTTATGAAATATTTTGAATATTCAGAAAAATAAAACATAACAAATGCTCCTGAAACACCCCGAATTACTGAATGTTAACTATTACAATGATGCCTCAGTTCACGAACTTAATTCTCTCCGTGATTCGGTCATAAGCCAAATTGAATGAGAACCGAATCAAACTTCCCCACACGTCAGTGTTGAACCCAAACACTGAAAGTGACTCGGTTCTCCTCCAATTTGGTTTGCGACCAGAACTGTAACAAGAATCAAGTTTGGGAACCAAAGTATGACTGTATTTCGTACTTGCTTCATACTGTTTTTTGGGAAACAATTTTATGGATGCATTTGAAATTGTTAAAAAAAAATACCTCTTTCTGTGGGTTGGGAATATAGCTCAGAGGCCCAAGGTCATGAGTTCAATTCCCAATACCAAAAAAAAAAAAAAAAAATTAGTGGTAGAATAATTGAAATGAGTATAAAAACTCAAGGGCCAGGAATATAGCTCAGCAGCACAGCATCTGCCTGGCAAGCACGAGGTCATGAGTTCGAGCCCCAGTACCAAAAAAAATTCCTCTTTCCATCATCTTCCCTCTCTCTCCAGAGCAAATTACTAGTCAGCAGTTGTTATGTAACTTTTCTATCCACATTTTTATATATTACTACATATTCACTATATTGTATCAAAACAATATAGTATATTGTTTCATATATTTTCAAAATTTGGTTTTGCCAGTCAAAACTGTGCTTTTGTGATTTGTCCATTCTGATGCATGCAGAATAAATTATTTTTATTGCTAATATTAAATTATGACTAAATAAAAATTTATGTAACTCGTTCTCAGTAGAAATGAATTTTTAAATTAACAATAAAATAACATTTTATTATTAACATAGCTAACATCCATCAAGTACTTACTGTATGTCAGGCACTGTACTAAGCTCTTAGCTAGGTCAACTCCTCCAGGCACTGTAATATTCATCTTGTAAATGTCTGTAAGAGTTTCCTAGTGGTATAAGCCTAGAAGTAGAACTACTGGATGTGCTTATCCTTATCCTTGTAAATGTTACCAGAATGTTCCTCAAAGTGTTTGTACCTGTGTATCAGTGTATGAGAGTTTTATTTTGCCTGCATCTTTTACTAGTGTGCTGGACATACAAACAGTAACTGTCCCCCCCCCCCAGGGGTATTGGTGAGTCTAGCTCTATTTTAGATTGAGTGAATCTACTGCATTTTAATGTTTTATCTCAGGGGTTAGCAAACTTCCTATAACGGGCCAGATAGTGACATAGGGTTTCTGACCAAACTGTCCTCCTTTATGACATGAGGTGTTGTAGTGAGAACGTAAGGACACATGTGAACATGGTGGTGTCTAGTGAAGCTTTATCTGTTGGCATTGAAATTTGAATTTCATAAAATTTTCATTTGTGGTAAAGATAATTGTTTTTAATGAACAAAAATATAAAAAGGAAAATTAAAATATAAAATATAAATATGTAAAATTCTTAGCTCAGGGGCCATACAAATATACAAGTGGTAGGCAGATTTAACCTGCAGGCTATAAATTTGCTAATCCTACTCTCTTTTTCTGCTAATTTTTTATTCATTAAAGCCCATTGTATGAATATGAAACAGATTAGAAGATGCAGAAACAACTCCAGACACACTAAGCCACCTTATCTTTGACAAAGGTTCCAACACAAAGGTGCCCACTGGAAGAAAGATAGCCTCTTTAATAAATGGTGCTGAGCCCGGCATGGGGGCTCACGCCTGTAATCCCAGCACTCGGGAGGTTGAGGTGGGAGGATCGTTGCGAGTTCGAGACCAGCCTGGGCTACAAAGTGAGCTCAAGGCCAGCCTGAACTGCATAGTGAGACCCTGTCTCAAAAAAAGGACAAAAAAAAAATGGTGCTGAAAAACTGGCTCTACACATGCCAGAGATTAAAGCTGGACCCATATCTTTCACCATGTACTAAGTTAAAATCAGAATGGATCAAAGATCTTAATATTAAAATAGAAACATTAAATCTTCTGGAAGGTAGAATAGGTAAAAAAAAACTCTGAAAGATATCGGTGTAGGTAAAGACTTTATGAACAAAACCCCAGTAGCACAGGAACTATCTCATAGAATCAACAACTGGGATCTCACCCTACTGAAAAGCTCATGCACAGCAAGAGAAACCACCAACGTGCTGCAGAGACAGCACCCAATGTGGGAGAAAATGTTTGCCAGCTGTTCTTCAAATAAAGGATTATCATCAAGAACATATAAAGAACTCAAAAAAGTTTGTTTCATTGATCTTTGGGTCTTTTTTTTTCCCAGCACCATAATGTTTTTTTTTACCACAGTAGCTTTAGGGTATAATTCCAAGTCAGGAATTGTGATGATCTCTGTCTAGTTTCTGTTGCCCAGTATTGCCTTTGCTATTCTAGATCTCTTCAGGTTCCGGGTGAATTTTAGGATTATTTTCTCTAATTCTGTGAGATACCCTATTGGAATTTTGATTGGGATTGCATTGAATCTGTATAACAGTTTTGGAAGCATAGCCAATTTCACTATTTGGTTTTTCTTACCAAAGAGCGTGGGATAGCTCTCTATTTTCTAATAACCTCTTCAATCTCCTTTTTCTTTTTTTTAAGAGTACTGTAATTTTCTTTTCTTTTCTTTTTTTTTTTTTGTCTTTTTCCTTTTTATCGGTACCGGGGATCGAACTCACGACTGCCTGCGTGCAAGGCAGGCACTTATGCTGCTGAGCTAAATCCCCAGCCCCCAGAAGTTTGATTTAGTTCTAATATTTCATTATTGATTTTTGGGGGGCCGAGAATTGAAGTCATAACCTTATAATTGTGAGGCAGGTGTTTGTGCTGCTGAGCGACATCCCTGGCCTCATTACTGACATTTTGTCTAATTGATCTGTGTTTTTGTGACAGTGGGGTACTGAGGCCTCCCAATACAACTGTATTCAGGTTTATTTGATTTTTCATGTCTGTTAGTAATTTTTTATATAGTTGGGTGCACTTTTGTTTGTTACATATATATTTATGATTGCTATGTCTTCATCTTGGATTGTTCCCTTTACAAAGATGTAGTGACATTCTTTATCTCTCTTTGTATACAAATAGAATGCTTTTTGGGGGGTTCCTAATGCATGGAATATTTTTTCCTTTGACTTCCAGTCTATGAATTTCTTTTTGAATTAAATGTGTTTCTTGTATGCAGTATATTGTTGGATCTTGCTTCTTGATCCATTCTGTCAGTCTGTGTGTGTTTACTGGTGAATTGAGGCCATTAACTCTGATGGTTATAAGTGATATGCAATGACCTATACTTTTTGTATTATTTTCCTGTTGTTACTCCCCCCTTTTTTTCCTTTGCTCTAATTGTTTGCTTTCCCTGATAGATTCCTTCTGTTGGGGTTCATGGAGCTGTAGTCCTTATTATCTGTTTCTAGACTGTCCTTTAGAACATTTTGGAGTGCTGATTTAAAGTTCCTCAGATGTTCTCTGTCATAGAAGTATTTTATTTCTCCATCAACTTTAAAAGATAGTTTTGTGGGGCACCTCAGTCTGGGTTGAAAGTTGTGGTTTTTTTTTTTTTTTTTTTTGTCTTTTTCATTTTTATCAGTACCAGGGATCGAACTCACGACCGCCTGCTTGCAAGGCAGGTGCTTATGCCGCTGAGCTAAATCCCCAGCCTGAAAGTTGTTTTCCTTTAGAACTTGGAGTACTTCATTCCAAGCTCTCCTTGACTTGAGAGTTTGTGCTGAGAAGTCAGCTGTAATTCTGATGGGCCTTCCTTCATAGATGATTTGGTTTTTCTGCCCTAACAGCTTTTAAGATTCTATTCTTATTTTGAATTTTTGAAATCTTGACTATGATATGCCTGGATATAGTTTTTTTTATCATTGCTAATTGGAGTTCTATATGCATCATTTATCTGTGTGTTAAATTCTTTTTTTCTATGAGGAAATTCTGTCATGATGTCTGTGAACATGTTTTTAATGTCATTTGTGGTATCTCCTGCTTGTTCTTTGACTCTAATTAATCTTAAATTATTCTTGTTTAAGATTAAGCTGCTGGATTGATTTCTCATGGTCCCTTGCTATTTTTGAGAACTCTTTCTTTTTCTGGTCACTAACTACAAGCCTGTCTTTAATTTCTGAGATCCTGGACTAAACTTTGAATACTTTCAATGGAGTTTTGTTCTCCTGGATATCTGCTTGAATGCAGTTTATGGATTCCATTTCTTTCCATTGCTGATCTTCCATAATTTGCTCAAGTTCATCTATTTTTTGTCTGTGTCTGCTCTAACATTACTAAGCATGGTGTGTATTTTGGTAATCTCTGTCATTATTTGAGAGATTATTTCTGGTTTCATTTTTTCCAGAGCCTCGTTGAATTACTTTGCTGTTTCCACTTCAAAGAGATCTGGTGGGGGCTTTTGGATTATCCCATTTCATTGCCCCTGTGTTTTCCTTTGGTAAACTGTGTGTCTCAGGTTGCGTCTTATTTGTCTTCTCATTTCTTTTTTTTTTTTTTTGGTTTAATTCCTGGGGTGATGCTTGTAAGTTGCCTGTGGTGGGTTGCTTTATCTAGTATTTAGAGCCCTTACGTGATGATTACTTCTCTGAGATATCTTCTAGTGTGTCTGTTTTTTTTTGGTTTTGAGTCTGTTGGAAGATCTTACCTCTTTACTTTGTTGGAGATGGGAAGTTGTTGCTTGTTTGTCTAGTCCCCTGTTCTTTGGCACTGTGCCACAGTATTTTCTGTGACTCTGGGTTAATCTCAGTCATGGATTATCAGGACCAGCAGCAGTTTAGAACAGTTACATTAATTTTGGCTCTAGTGTTATGAATAGCATCAAACACAGCTTATAAAACAACTAACTGAGCTAACCCTTAATTTGCAACTTTTAATAATAAGAACTAGATTTGTAATTATATAAAAAGATGTAAAACAAGCCAGATAATTATATGCAATATATAAGCCTGTAATGTGTCAGTTTTGCCCTCATGGTTGAACTTTAAAATGGATTAAGGAGAAAATAGAGAAGTAGAAGAAGAGAAAGATTGTAAGTGTGGTTGGAGGAGAAAGATGGATCACACCAATTTGGAGAAACTGGTACAGAAGATTGAAGGAAAAGAGAGATGGAAGAGATAAAAGGAAGAATAGAAACACACCCACAAAGAGGTTAGGAACCACTGTTGTAGTCAGAAAACAATGAAGGAGAAAGAAAAAAACAAACTAAATAAAATAAAACAACAACAAAAAGGAAAAACAAATAGTCCATTTCCAGGATCCTCTCTGGTTTCCCTAGCAGACAACCTGTGGAGACAGAGTCCCGAATCATGCCACTGTATCCCAGCAAGCCAGCCATTGCTTTGTGGCAGAGTAGATAATGTCAGCGGGCCTTCCCTGAGACCAGACTCACTGGGCTTGCCACAGTCCAAGCAATTTCCATGGGCCTGCAGCCAGCTAGGAGCTGCTGGATGAGCGCAGGAGCAGTTCTGGGTTCTGGGCTTCTCTGATCTGACTCCAAAATGGCTCCTGGCCAATTGCTTTCTTCCTACCAGAGGACTGAGGCCTTTGCACTCACTGCCAGCCAGTGCAGTCCTCCAGGTTTGCTGCTCCTCTCCACTGCCACGTCTCTCTGCAGAGGCCTCTGGGGTTGTCAACTGTCACCTTCACAGGGCCCATGCGTGCCCAGGTTCAAACAACTCCACTGGCACAGTGAGTCTGGGCCCGGGAGAAAGTACCACCAGCTACCACCTTCTTTATTGAGGTTTTTCTTTTTACTCTCTCTGTGGGCTTCAATTTGCACTTCAGATTCTTCCTCGCAACACATTTTGTGTTTCCAGTCTTTTTTCTCTCCTTTTTTTTGTTTTTGTTTGTTATTTTGAGAGGTGGAATTGAGGGATTTGAGACAGGGTCTTCCTAAGCAGATCAGTCTGGTCTTGAACTCTTGTAGCCCAGGCTGACCTTAAGCTCTCTGTAATCCTCCTCCTGCTCCAGCCTCCCAAAATGCTGGGATTGTAGGTGTGTGCCACTGTGCCTGGCTCTCTGATTTAGTTTTATCCATAGTGCCACCATGACTTAATGTACTCTTTCACTTGTTTTGTTTGTTCACACCATTCAGGGAAGACATTTGTTTTGTTCTGAATAGGACTCACCACAGTCTGGGCACTAAGTGGATAGCCATTGAATGAATTAAAACAAAAAACAAAAACAAACAAAGCCTGGGTTTGGTAGTGGGTGCCTGTAATCCCGCCACTCCCACTGAGAGGCTAAGACAGCAGGATTATTAAATTTGGACCCAGATTGGGTAAGTAGTGACCTAGCAAGACACTGTCCTCAATAAACAAATAAATAAATGAAATAAAAAGATCTGGAGATATAGTTTAACATAAGCAATTTTGGTTCACTCTTCACTACCCCCTCCCACAAAACAAATAACCTAGAACTCTTTTAGTGTTATTGTCCATTATGAAAAAAATAATTTGTTTTTCATATCAGAGTTAGTTCTAGAGTAAGACTTTTTTTGGGTGGTGGTGGTATAGAAGGTTGACCCTGGACCTTTACACTGAGCTACATTCCCAGACCTTTTTTTTTGTGTTGTTCTCCATACCTTATTTTATTTTCTGTTTGAGCCAGGATTCACTAAATTGCTAACTTAGGTAGGCGGGGCTCCAATTGTTTACTTATATTAACTGATTATATTACTGAAAATGTAGAAAATATGAAAACATATAAATAGCAAATAACACCCATGGGTCTTTATCTGGAGTTAACTGCTATTATTATTTTGGTATGTTTTCTTTTTTTGCCTATGCATTTTTAACAAAATGAAGTCAAGTTGCATATATCATTTTATCACTTGAATTTTTTGTATCATGTACTTTATATTGAATGTGAATTTTTCCCCATGTGCTAAAATATTAAGACCATGATCTTTAATTAACTGCCTTGTTTTCATCATATTCGATCATATTTTATCTGGTCAATCTTTCCCTTACTGTTGGTTGTGAAGGTTGTTTCTGAATTTTTTTGCTTTTGTTGTTATAAATCAGGATCATTCCTTTTTTAAACATCGGTAAATAATTTTCAGACAGTAAAGTACACACATCTTAAAGATTTCTTCTCAGTCAAACAAATAGAAGCTTACAGAGAGAGGAAGCTTCAAGAGCTGACATAACTCTTCTTGATTTGCACTGAGAACAAAAATCTGTGTCACTGAACCTGAAATCTTATAGGAAAGTTAACATGCCCTAGGAGGAAGTATTCCGAAAGATTTGTGAAATGATATTGTCACTTTACAAATTCTGTATTTGAATTTAACCCCAGGAGAGCTTTTAGTTCTCATAGAAGCTTCAGTGTAAATTAGAAGGGAAAGATGCTCTGGTAGACATGAATGAGCAATAGTTTAAAAGGAAGTTTTAAAAAGGTGCTTAATTATACTTAAGTCTTTGGATAGCTATGAGAGATGTCTAAAAAATCTTGTACCAATTATGCATAATTTAGAAAATTGGTAACTCATAGTTATTGGGCTTTATACCTTTAATAAGGAATCTTAAGTCTATGAACAATGAAGCTTACTTGAAAAAATGGCTATATTTTTGTTGTTTGTATTCCTAAATTTTCATTAGATATAGTGGAAAATTCTAATCAATAAAGAAAGGAGTAAGATAAAAAGTATTTAGAGCATGGAATATTATACTGGATTTTAAACTTTCATATGACTATAAAATTTGGAAATAAAACATGAATATTTTTCTTGTATTTTACATACATATGTTCTTAGTATATCTAACAATTTTACTATAATTTAAAGGAATAAATTGCCTGCTTTATAGCAAAATTTTAAAGAATTGTCTGTATAGCTGTTTCTTAATCTTCCTTTTAGACTTGTAGAAGAATACCATGATTTATATACCTTACAAAGGGGAAGGATGGAGGCTGATATTAGACAGTTAATGAAAGAAAGAGATATCTGGAGCTCAGCCACATATGAATTGGCCCTAAAGGTTGGTTCATCTGGACTCACAACTCAAACTTCTTTATTAGCTGTCTTGGCTTTTTTTTTTTTTTTTTGTAAGAATTCTGATTCTTTTTTTTTTTTTTTGGTATGGGGATTGAACTCAGGACCCCGTGCTTATACTCAGGCAGGTGCTTATACCACTGAGCTAAGTCTCGGCTATCTTGGTTATTTTTTTCTCATTGTTGAGAGAAAATGACACCCGAAGTAAAGCAGGAAAAGTTTATTTAGCTTAAAGTTTTTGGAGGTTTCAGTCCATACTCAGAACTCCAGGGCAGGGTAGTGTGGCTGGGGAAGCTGTTCATGGCAGCCACAACGACAAGAGTGAAAGGGGGCCCAAGAGGGAAAGCATGCCTCTTTTTCTTCCCTATATTGTATGCCAGTCAGCTGCCCCATGGTGGGTGCAACTCTCACACCACCAATTCCAGTGCTAGACAACAAGCCAACCACAGACCTAGACTCAGTCGTCTCCATGACTGCATGAGCCTTTGGGGAGACATTTAAACAAGTCACAACATTCGCTAAAGTTTCATTGTATAATTTTTAATAATACAGACAAAAATTGAACAGAAAAACGCATTTAATTATTGATAGGTAATGTAGTTTTTGTGGGCCTTAATAGTGAAAAGTTAAATTTCTTTTTTTTCCTTCTGTTGGGTACCTACCTTTTGCACAATAAAGGGCCCTTTTTTTTTTCACCAGCACCTATAAAGCACAAAAGTATTTGTTTTGTTTTTGGTGGTATTTGGGAACTTTTAAAAATTTAACCTTAATCGTTACTAATAATAAACTAGAAAAGATGTTTTAAATCTTTATTCAATATAAACATATTAGGATCATTGGATATCACACAGGACTTCTTTTACATTGGTACACAGATGAGAAATATGGTAGCCTGTGGAATATGATCGCTTTAGAGAACTATCAGCAAAGTCCCACAGCATTTTGTATTTCTAGTGGTCCAGATAAGTGAGTTGAACTTACAACCTTGCACTTGCCAAGCAGGTACTGTACTGCTGAGCTTCATCCCGTGCTTCCGTGTTTCTAAAATGCTTACCTGTTGGTTGCCTGTTTGGACATCTGGAATTTTTAAGTATTGAAAGTGAATTATGGCTCACGTAGATTAAAATACCAGTTTGACTGGTTCTTTAGTCCACTGATGGCGTTCTGTATTAGACCCTACTCTGTATAGTAGGTTTTGGATGAAAATGTAGAAGGCATTCCTGTCAAAGTGTGAAGATTCACAAAGCTAGAGAGAAAGCTAATATATTATATGGTAGAATCAAGATTATATATTCGGGAAGCTTAATGTATTTGGCAAAGGTAATTATTAGAAACCTAGAGCATTGATGTGGACGTGTTAGAGGCATCCCCACTGGAGAGGAGAAGGGATTCATTTATTCTTTGTTTTCATTCTCATTCACTCATGAGCATGCAGCAGATACTTCTAGAAGTTATATGACATACAATATTGCAGCAAATTGAATATATAAGCAAATAAGAGAATCTAGCTTTATTCTTTTTTAATTGACTAAATTTATTGGTACAGTGTAGGTACACATAATGAACACATTCATCATAGAGAATTTGTACCTGTAATGATTACCTTAATTCTTTTTATTTCCCATTTTCCTACCCTCCCATCAATTCAGCTTTATTCTTTTAAGAGATATAAAGATATCTGTAAAAATGCTTAAAAAGCGACTCTTTACTATTTTTAAAATGTTATATTTTTATAAAATACTATTTATTTTAACATGAGTTTGTTAATATATTTAAGTGAAATATCAAATACATGTTTTAAATAATTTTAGTTTAATTTTTTAGTGCAGCAAGTACTAATAGATATAATTTATATAAATAAACACTTTAGAGTCCTCAGTAATTTTTAAGAGTGTTAAGGTATCTTGAGATCAAACTGTTTAGAACATCTGCTGTGTTCTTTGAGTCAGTTTGGTTACACTTGTGTTAGAAAATGTAAATTTGTGATTCAAATTAGTTAATGATTTAAATAAATTTTGGTTGAGATAATTACTCAGTGGAAACTTGATTTTGAAACAACTAGCAAATTATAATGGTTTGTTGGTGTTTTTGATTGCTGATTCAAATACATTATTTTTACAGGTCATTGAAAGAAATAAAGTCATATTGGCTAAACGGCTCTACCTCAATGAAAAAGGCTGGCATAAATACACTAAGCATTTCGTCACATTGCTGTCAACCAAGGTAAGGCTCAGTTCATTTAAGTTATGAAAGAAAAGACTCCAAGTGTTGAGGGTTAAGACAATAAGGATTTGCTCTGATAAATTTATAAATTTTTAAATATAGTTTGGTATTTACGCTTTATTGTGGGCAGAATGAAAAAAATCTAAGAAAAGTAAATTAAGCTTATTTTCATATATTTTTCTTCTATTATAATTAAAACAATTTAAGTTTTATAATACTACAAAGTTATTCATAGTTCCATTTATTCATACTTACACTAAAATAAAAGTAAGTTATATTTATTGCAATAGTTGTATTATCAGTGTATTCTATACAATTTTATGAGAAATTCGATAAGTGAAGTAGGGAGAAAAAGAAAAACCTGTCATTTTTGTGTTTGTGCTCAGTCAAATGGTTTATATCAATTATTTTCATTTAACTATTAAAACAATTCTTTAAGAAAAATACTGATGACTTTATTTTATGAGTAATAAAAATTAACTTCAAATAAAAGAAATGCTACCCAAGGTTACCCAGCCAGTAAACATGTGGGACTCACATTCAGGTCCGTCTGGTTTCCTGTGTACCCTGCTGCCCCTGAGAGGGTCCCACAGGGAAATTGGGTTCATGTCAAGAGGAAAAAATCTCTATGTACCACTGAAAATTCATCACCCAACAATCATGTCACTCATGTTTTAAAAGAATGGTATTCTCTCACTTTTAAAATTTATTTCCTATGTATTTATCTAGTTTTACATGATTACTGATGGTCTGGAATATAGGTTAATAAATACTTGTTACATGAATAAGTAAGTTGATTCTGTGCATTTTAGGATTCTGCAGACCTTGCTCAGTTGGAGAAATTGACACACAACTGGCAAAACTTAATGAACAAATTTAAACTGGATGTGGAACAAACTGAAGAGTCTACAAGGAATAAATTGCAAATTATTAAGGATGGCCTTATCAAATGGCAGAAGTTCTATGAAGATAAGTGAGTCTCTAAGAATCTTCTGATTTTCTCGTGTCTGAATAGTTCAGTGCAGTTCTCATTTTGTCTTTTTCTCCCCACTTTTTTCACACCTTTCCCCTCACTTTGTAATTACTTTAACACTAATTTTTATGGAGTAACCAGAATCCTTTTTAGGGAAAATCTTGTTAAGGACCTTGAACACTCTAATGGTTTCTAGTGCTAGTTATGTTTGTATCTCCTGATCATCCTGCCCAAGTGTTGCTTCCTTCAAGTCCAATTCTTTTCTATTTTTTAAAAATAAAGTCAATTTATTTCATTACTTTTGAAAATCTTGAGTATCAGGATCCCATTTGCAAATTCTGTAGCACAGTGCATTACAGGAAGGGAGAATCAATGTATAGCAATTACTGGGAAATACATTTTGATTAAGTATCATACTTTGTAATGATTAAGGTAATTTAATAATGGAAGGAAATAGTAGTAAAGAAATTACTTGAAGCTGAATAATTAAATTAAAGCCATAAAAAGTCATTGGGAAAGTATGCTTTAGATACAGATTGGGCTAGATTATTTCTGTTTTCTTTTCTTTTTTTGCTTCCAACTCTTTTTATTGCAATCATAAAAAAGTGATTTGTATAACCAATCTGGTCTTCATGTCAAAAATCTCTTGTCCAGAATCATATAGCCAATTGCTATTGATTTTTTTTTTTTTTGTACCGCGGATTAAACTCAAGACCTCGCGTTTTCCAGACAGGCTCTTACACTGCTGAGCTAAATCCTCGGCCCACTACTTGATTTTTAAAAAATTAATGGATATTACTTTTACAGGCTAGTGGTTTTCCTTTTGGAATCTTCATAAATGCATAGAATGTACTTGGATCATTTCCCCCGCTACCTGCCCTCTTCTTTTCCTCCCCCATTCTTCCATCTTCTTGTCTTCTTTAATAGTCTCCCTTTGGCTTTTGTATGTCTCCTCTTTCTTGCTGGCTGGCTGTCTGTCTGTCTGTCTGTCTCTCTCTGTGAAACACGTGAGGTTTGTTTTTCTTGGTTGGTTTATTTCACTTACCGTGATGGGATCCAGTTCCATCCACTTTCCCTCAAATGACAGGATTTTGTTTTCCCTTCTTCTACCTTCCTCTCTCCTTCTCTTCTTTCTGAGTCCTTATCTGGGTTTCCTATCAATGTGATACTGGCTTTGTAGAATGAACTTAGAAGCATCCCTTCCCTTTTTTTTTATGGAATAATTTGAAGAACAACAGCTACAGTTCTTTTTAAAAGTTTAGAAAAATTCAGCAATACAATTTTCCAGTCCTGGTTTCATGTTTGTTGAGAGACCTTTTATTACTGCTTCGTTTTCTGTTTACTATTGATGTATTTAGAGGATTTTGTATCTTCTGGGTTCAGTTTTGGTAGGTTATATGTATCTAGACATTTATTTATTTCTTCTATATTCTGTAATTTGTTGAAACAAAAAATTTCAAATTAGTTTCTAATATTCCTCTGGATTTCATTGGTATCTCTTGTTAATATCAAATTTTTGCCTCTAAGTTATTAATTTCAATCTTTTTTTCTTTTGGTTAGTTTGGCTAACAGTTTTATTTATATTTATTTATATTTATAACAAATATAAACAGTCATCTTGTTTATATTTTCAATTCTTTGATTAATGAATCCTTTGTATTTTTCTTTTAGTCTCTATTTCATTAATCTTTTTGCGGGGAGTGAGTACTGGGAATTGAACTCAAAAACCTAATGCTTGCCAGGCAGGTGCTGTGCTGCCGAGCTGTATCCCTGGCTCTGTTTCTTTAATTTAAGCTCTGATCTTTATTATTTCTTTGCTTCTAGTGTTTTCGGGTATGACTTGTTCTTATCTACTTGTGGACCTTGAGAAGCATCATTAGGCTATTTATTTGAGGTTGTTGTATTTTTCCAATGTAGGCACTCACAGTTGTTTTTCCCTCTCAGAACTGTCTTCACTATATCCCACAGATTCTGATAGATTATATTCCAACCAATATTTGATTCTAAGAAGTTTCAGATTTACCCAAAGTTCTTCAGTGACCCACTGATCATTCAAAGAATGTTATTCAATATTCATTGTGTAGTTTCTGGTTTCTTTTGTTGGGGATTTCTAGTTTCCTTTTATTATGATCTAATAGGATACATGAGATTATTTCAGTTTTTATGTTTAAAACTTTCTGTGTAGACTAATATGGTCCATTATGGAGAAAGCCTCATAAGCTGCTGGAAGAATGTGTATCCTGCTGCTGTTGGACGTAATGCTCCACAGGTGTCTGTTAAGTCCATTGGGTCACTAGTTTAATTCATCCTTATTAATTTTTTGTCCAGATGGCCTATTTGTGAAAGTATGGTATTGAAATCCCCCACTATTTATTTTTATATATGCTCATGCAATTATTTATTATTTGAAATTAAAGTGAACCTAGAACCTTTTTTTTCCCCACTAAATCATCAGAGCTTGGCACGATCTTGCCCTTCATACTCTTGGCTTGTTTCTCTTCAAGTATCTCTCATCTCTTGTCTCAAGTATATTTTTCAAAATCTGGGATAGGCTGTGCCCACTGCTACCCCAGGGCCTGTGCTGTGCTGTTTCTGCGCCTGTTATGTCCTTTGATAGGAATGTTTTTAGCTCCACTGATTTATTTAACTGCCATTAACCTTTTAGATCAAAATCTATGCTGAGCAGTCCCCTTTCCTTGTCCTCGTCTCTCCTAGAATGTTGTCACTTTCCTTCACTGACCTTGTATCAAGTTGCGATTACACATTTATTTTTGTGACTATATAACTTTCCCATTAAACACAAGATCAGAGATCAAATTTATCTTTTCTTTATTTTGTATTCTCTATGTATCTCTGGATACTTTATATACATTAGACACTGTAAAGAAGGAAAAAAGAAAGGTTGGAAGGAAAGAGGGAAAGAAGCAAAGATAATAGACTGCGTACTGTTTGCTTTATGAAACTGAGTATGCTGATGTTCAGTGTACTTTGCCATAGTTATGTCTTCTTGGTGCATTTTTCCGTTTTCAATATGTAATGACTAATCCTACTTGTTTTCAGGTTCTATTTGCATGAAATGTCATTTCCCACCTTTTTTAGTATGCATATATCTTTGCAAGGTGTATTTCTTGCAGGCAACACATTGTTTGGTCTGGTTTTTAATTTGGTCTGCCAATCTGAGCCTTACAGTCGGGGTTATTATTGAAAGGTATGTACTGATACCTTCCACTTTGTTAGTTTTGGGATGTTTCTTTTTCTTACATTCATTTGTTAGTCTGCTGTTTATCTGCATGATGTGTTCCTTTAAGTATCTTGTAATGCACTGGTTTTGTGGTCTTGGGTTCCGATAGTTTCTGATTGTTTTGGAATGTATTTCTCCTGCAAGGCTGAGGGAGGCTTTGCTGAATATGGTAACCTAGATTGGCAGTTATTTTATTTCAGAGCTTGAAATGTACTGTTCTATGCCCTCCCAGGCTAGAGTTTCTGCCAAGAAAAAAGAAAAGACGAATTGGAAGTGGAGGAGGGAAAAGAAAAAAAGAGGAGAAAGTAGAAACAAAGCTTTGTAAATAAAGAGGAGAAGAGGGCTTGAAGAGAAGAGGGGAGGATGGGGGGAAAGAGGAACTTAGATATATCACGTACAGGTACAAATTCCCCACAGTGAGTGTGATCATTACGCATATCTAAATTGTACCAGTAAACTGACTTATAAAAAAAAGGAAATTGCTGCTATTTGGAAGGATTGACTTTATGAGTGATTTGGTGTTTTTCTCTTGTAGTTTTCAATGTAATTTGTTTGCTCTATAGTTTTCGCATTTTAACTATGATATGATGTGGGAGATTTTTCCCTGATAATGTCTATTTGGAGTTTTAGATGTTTCCCTTACCTGGATATCCACGTCTTTCTCAAGATTTGGAAAATCTTCTATTATTATTTTGCCAAATAGATTGCATGTATTTAGTCTGCATCTGAGCCCTTTTGGTATTCCACAGGTAATTAAATTTGTTTTTAAAAATTGCATCCCAGAGGTCTTGCATTTTTTCATAATTTATTTTTGCTTTATTATTGTCTAAATGTGGTATTTTTTTAACTTTGTCCTCAAACCTTCAGATTCTTTCTTCTGCTTGTTTAAGCTGTTCGTTAGGCTTTACATTGATTTTTTTTGTCTTTGGGTCTTTGATCAGTTTTGAGTATTCTTCGTGTGGTATTTTGTCTGCTTTGATATCTACGGCAGTTAGTGTGGAGGTATTACATTTCGAAAGTGTCATGTTGTGTTGTTTTTATGTTTCTTGTATTTCTTTCTGTGTTGAGATTTGCACATCTCTTGGGTTGAATATATCTTCCACTTCTATATGTGGGCCTTTTAAAGAAACAGCCTTCTCTGATGGTGTCCTTGGAGACTGAATTTGTGGTGGAGTGTTCACTGTATTTCCTAATGGGTTCCATGGTAAGGTTTCTTATCACTTTTTTGCTGGTACTTAAAATATTTTGACACATATGCACTGGCCACACTTTCACTGTAGTTTTCACAAAGTGAAATCCTTCTGTTGGCTCAGGAGATTGTGTTGTAGACCATGAAATACATATGTCACATTCTCTATGATCGCTCCTCTAAGTCTTGTCAACAATATTCCTTCTGAAAGGGCATACAAGTGACCTGAACTGAGGCCCCTTGAGGGTGTGCTGTCCCTGGTCTTTGCAGTTGTTCTGTTGGTCAGGCTCTCTTCATTTCGGGATGTGACTTCCAGGGCCCCATCATCAGCTGGGGAATTTTATGTACCCTAAGTTTTGAATTAAAATATTGACCAAAGTTTGAGTGGAGGCAGATTGCGCTTGGAGTAAGTGTTTATCTGTGCTGGACCTGTACCTCATCATCAGGGTAAAAGCCCAGTACTGCCCTGTGACATCCACAACCGTAACAGCAACCATTTACAGGAGCGGTAGGGGCTGGCAAACTCAGAAGTTTTAAAAGATAGTAAAAATTCAGTTAATTAAGAGAGAAGAACATGTGAAGGGGGAAACAAAAAGAAAAATTAGAATGTTTGAAAAATTGAAGAGAAAGAAAGCAGAACAAAGGTAGAAAGTGAAGACAAGAAAAAAATGCATAGTGGTATAAACCTGCAAGTCCCACTCACCCAGAGGGCGAATGAGCAACCCAGAGAGACCCCACTATAGGACAGAAAGGCAGGACGGGGAGGTAGCCCAGGGGCTGAGCACCCCTGGCTTCCGTTCCTAGCACCACCTACACATTTGGCTGTCCCCGCTCAACGCACAATTCAAAGGCAAATATGAAAATAAAGTCTACATAAGTAAAAATTTGAAAAAAAAATGGAGTAGAAAAGTGAAAAGTAGAAAATAAAGAGTAAAATAATCTGAGTCTTAGAAGGAAAGAGATGCAAAAAGGAAGAAATCACAAAAATAGTATTAAAGAGAAAACTATTATTTAAAAAAGAATATATATATATATATATATATATATATATATATATATACCATCACACTTGGCCAGAACCCTGGTTAGTCACAAGGCCAACTCTAGCTGAAACAGTGAGGCAATATTTGCTGTGGATTCAGGAGAAAGGAAGGCCCACAGGCTTACGTTTCCCTAAGTAGCAGCTCAAATATAGCTCTCACAAGATGGCTCCCCACCATAGTAGCACACTTACACATTGAACAATGCGAAATACTTTTCAAGCACCCATCTGGTATGTAGCTTCCAGACCAGTGAAGCTCAGATGTTTTCCCTCTCCAGATCTGCTGATTTTTGTTCACTATGATTCTCTGTCTCTGTATCTCCCCTCCTCCCTGTGCTGTGACTCTGGGCTGCTGTCACTGGCTTAGGCTCAGAGAAAAATGCTTTAAAAAAAGCCCGCCATGGCCCATTGCAGTGTAACTTGATTGTTCAGGTCTGCTTAGATTTTAAATTTATATTTATACTTGCAAATTAGAAGGGCTGACCTGAAAGGCATGTTTGAAAATTGTTAAGGAGAAATAGTGTTGTTATTTAGCAAAAGGACTTGTGATTTTGTTTTTACTCTGCTATGAGATATTTCTCTTGCTCATTTTTCTTTCAGGGGAAACATTCCATCCCCCATTAAGGAAAATACATTTGATTTGATTGTTTCAGACTTCAAGAAGTGGCAAAGGGTAAGACTTTTTTTTTTGCATTGCTGAAGATTGAACCCAAGGCCTTGTGCATGCAAGGTAAGAGCTCTACCACTGAGTCACATCCCCAGCCCAAGACTTTCTAATAAACAGCTAGGAAGTGAAGCATTGATTATAAACTTGAAACTCTGTATGTACAACTGAGTCACATTTCATCCTTTTAAAATGCAGTATTAAGTTTGATAAAAGACAAAACAGTGCTTTTAAAAATATGAGTATATTCCGTTCTGGTTCAGATTTTTGGACAAACAAAGTTAGGCTAACAGAAGAAAAAAAAATTGGAAGAGATATGTAGATGGTACCTGATTCTGATTCTGTCATCCATTGGTTAAATATAAGTAACATTTCTGCCTGTCATGTTTGGTTTCTGTTTTTGTTTGTTTGCTTGTTTTTTGGTCTTTTTGAGACGGGGTGTGACTGGGTAGTTCAGGCTGGCCTCGAGCTCATTTTGTAACCCAGGCTGGTTGTAACTCACAACTATCCTCCTGCCTCAGCCTCCTGAGTGCTGGGATAAATGGCATGCACCACTATGCCCAGCTCTAATTTTTGTTTTAAGGAAAATTAAACTTTTAAAATTAGTGACATCTCTATCTGGTTGGATTATGAATGCAGTGTAAATGCTGTGGTGTTGAGGCAACGCTTTTCTTTTGTTTTTTTTTTTTTGTATGTTTCTTATTTTCCTTCATCCAATATGTATCTCTGATATAGATATATATTATCAGATTATATATATATATAAATATATATATATATATATATATATATATATTAGTTGGTATTTGTGAAAAGGAAAGTAAGAATTAGTGCTTTAGTTTAAATAATATCTTGCACGGATATGTCAGGTTTAACCTTTTCCAAAAGTTATGTATAGAAGATTCAAACACCAGCTTTGCATCAGCACGCTGATTGGCTCCAGCCTTGTCGCAGCATCCCCCAAACTGCAGCTGTGCTTCCCTCCTTTTCCCACAGACACCTCACGTGCCCTCTCCCAGCCTCAACTCCAGAGGTAAAAGTAATAGCAAATTCTCATCTTTTTTCTTTCTCTTATATTATCTCTTTTTCTCCTTTCTCACTTTGTGAATTTTCTTCCTTTGTCCTTCCTTTATCTTCTAAATCCCAGTCTACCTGTCAGCAGTAATATATCAGTGTTTCTGAGTTATTGAAAAAAGTGAAATTATTAAATCTTTTTTTTTTTTTTTGGTCTTTTTGAGACGGGGTCTCACTACGCAGTTCAGGCTGGCCTTGAGCTCACTTTGTGGCCCAGGGAGGTCTCCAACCTGCAATGATCCTCCTGCCTCAGCCTCCTGAGTGCTGAGATTACAGGCTTAAATTGTTTTAAATGACATGACTGATATATTATATATTGGCTTTGTAGATCCTGATATAATCAGTGTTAGTTCTTTCCTTGCAGTGTAGCAACCAAGACTGGCCCTATTACATTCAATAGGTTGAAGAGGTGTATAAATACCAAAATGTAACGGCAAGCCAGGATCACATCACAGGGAAATGTACACTAACTAAAGAGATCTCCACCGTAGCAAAAGAGTTTTTCTACCCAAAGTGACCCTCAATCCTCCTTACAAAAAACAATGGAAACATGAGAAAAATAAATGGCAACAAGATATTTCCAAAACTTCTTAATATCCCTAAGGCTGATCTCATGGTTAAAATGTTTGAAGAGAGCGAAGAGGAAACAAATAAATAAGCCTATAAGCTATTCAGCAACCCCACCGCCCCCCAAGAAAAACCAGATAGAAAAAGAGAAATATTTTTTAAAAAGTTTTTTAAACATTGACTTTAAAAAACAAAACCAAACCAAACAATCCTTCTGTGGGTTTTTTTTTTTTTTTTTTGGCGGGGGAGGATATCAGGAATCGAACTCAGGACCTTGTACTTGCCAGGCAGATACGTATGCTGCTGAGCTATATCCCCTGTCCTCACCGTTATTTTTGAATGATTTTTTTTTTCTTTCCAGAATCTGACATCTTGGAATCTAGCACGTCATTTTTTCCTTAGCCTAGCTTTGGGGCCTCTGGGTTTGTGAGGTGGCTCCCTACACCGAAGGTGTCCTCTGTCCATTTACTCCAGACTGTAAAACTGTCCCAGCTGAGGTGTGTCCTTGCTCACTTCGGTAGCTGAGAAAAACAGCCGCCCTTCTGGTCTCTTCTCAATGCAGGCCATTGAATGGGGCCTCAAGCAAACTGCTGGACTTCATGTCATCACTTGCTAGTTTATCACTATGAAGGGCAGCGTCCAGTCCCTTCCCAGCTTGAGCTTAAGCTTTTTAGGGAGTCTAAGTTTAACTCCCACATTCACGCTGTGGTTGTTTCCTGTGGTTATCCCTCATCCTGTCACTTTGGAAGGGTAAGCCTGTGATCCCAGGGTAGAAAAACTCTTTCGCTACTATGGAGATCTCTAAAGCTGCTCGCGAGGTCTGTAATTTCTCCCTGGGTCTGCTAGCTTCCCAGTTTAACCTTCTTTCCCTGAGCACTGGCTTCATCCATGATCAGGTCTTTCGGTTAATCTGTGCCTCTGCTACTCCATACCAAGGGAAGCAAAGCATAGAGCTGGCTTGCAGTCTGGGACAGTCCTGTAGCTGGGTGGAAGCTTACTGTGTTGTTTCCTCTTCTGTCCCCGGCACTGGTCCTGTCCACCATCAGCCCCATGCAAGGGGAAGAAAGAGATGAAGGGCAGCCCAGAGTTGTCCAGCAGTCATGATCTAATCCCTACTTTTTACTTTTGGAATTATTTGAGCACAATTGTCTCAGAATGATTATATCTGTATGTAGTACATATAATATATATGCCAGCAAACATCATGTCAAAACTATTAGGTAAAAAAAAAAATTTAAAAGTCACTGTATGAGAGAATCATGACTTTTAAAAACTCTTTATCTGGTAGTTTTGACATGTATAGATGAAATAGAAAAAAATTCATGCTTCCTTAATTATGAGGAATAATAATATCTCTCATTTATTAAATACTCTGTTAGGCTAAAATGTTTTCATACATTATTTTACCTTTCAGGGCAGCAATCTGATGTAGGTCTTATAATCCTCATCTATAAATGATAAGTGACAGAATGAGCATTTGAGACTGGTCTCATTTCAGAATTCTTAACTCCTAATTGATGTTACAATGTCTACCTATATTATTTACCCTTATTGAAGAAATAATAGTAAACTTTATATATAAATTCTACTTTATTTGCTCACTAATATTAATAATATTTCTTGTTTGGTATTTGGGGTTAGAAAGATATAATATGAATCAAATAAAAAACTGTATATTCTAGGAACTCTTCCAATTTAGCAGGAATATATATATATATATATATATCACCCAACCTTACTGAATAATAAAACATGCTTAGCTCTCTCAGACTTAATTCTCTGTCAGTAAATTGTTTTACTCTGATAAGATTTTTAATGCAATGATTTTCTGGCTGATAAGCTATGAATTTCTCATAGGATAGCAGCATTCGTTTAAAATGTTTGTCACATACCACTTCTTTGGAGAAGAAATAGTTTGAAGAATAATAACAAGGCTGTGCAACTCAAAAATAATTGGGGAGCACTAAGGAAGTAAGATCTTTGTTGATTTGGTGAACTGTGTGCTACTCCCCCCTCCTTTACTCTCTAGGAACTAAATGATGAGAAAGAAAATTATACTGGGGATATCCTACTATCCAGATATGATACTCTCAAGATTATTAAGCATTTACAGGACAGCTGGGCAGATACTGGAATGGGCATACTTGGTCGCCATAAAAGTGTCGAGGGGAAGATGCCTGCAGAACACCAATACTTGATGGAATTAATAAAAAACATAGGAAGACTCTACAAAGGATATGAAATGAGAATAAATGGGGATAATGGTAAGAAAAAACAGTGAGTAGATATTGTGACATTATAAAGCATTTTAAGCTATTTTAAATAAATCTACAAGCAATATATGCATATAGTTTTTTAAAATCAAGCAAGATAAAACACTGAACACATTTGATTTTGATATAATTTAATACAATTTACCTATTTAGAATGTACAATTGAATACACATTCACAGTCATATGTATCTCTCATAGTCAACTTTAGAATATTGCCACAACTTTAGAATACGCCTCAGAAGAAACCCTGTACTTTTAAGCTCTCATTCCCTTTCCCTATCCCTACTATAATTCTAAGTCTCTTTTCTGTCCCTGTAGATTTCCATGTTTTCACCTTTCATATGAATGAAGTTACATAGTTTTATCTTTTATGAATGGCTTTTTCCATTTGGCATAGCATGTGTTAGTTGTTCCTTTTCAATAGCCAAGTTTTCCATTTTATGTATGTATATAAAGCTTATCATTTGATCTGTTGATAGATATCTGGGTGTCTCCCTTTACAGTTACTGTAAATAATGCTGATGTGAACATTTGCTTACACATTTTTGAGGACGCATAAGTTTTCATTTCCCTTGGGTGTGTAACCTGGAGTAGAAGTTCTGGTCACTTGGTAACTCTGTATTTAACTTTCGAGGACTGCTGCACTTGTTAAAAGATACTAGATCATTTATATTCCCACTGGAAGGTATAAGGGTTCCGATAGTTCTACATCCTTGCCAACAGATGTAGTCCATGACAGTGGATACGGTGAAGTAACATTTCATTGTAGTTTTGTGTTTTCCTGATGACTGCTGATGTCAAGCATCTTTTATAGGCTTATTAGTCATTGTACATCTTCTTTGGGGAAATATCCTGTCACATCTTTTGTGTTTTCTTTTATTGAGTTATAAGGGTTCTTTATATGATCTGAATTCTAGTCCTTTTTCAGATACTGTATATGAATTGCAAACAGTTTATCTGTGGGTTACCTTTTAATTTTTTTGATGGCATCCTTCTATTGACAGAGTTTTTGTTGCCATATCTAAAGATCCTTTGCCAAGGTCATGAAAATTTTGTCTATTCTATTATGAAATTTATTGGCAAAACCATTTATAGTATTTTTATATTTCTTTTACTTTTGTGGAATTAATGGTACCGTCCCCTTTTTAATTTATGGTTCTGGTAGCTTGAGTCATTTTTGGTTGGTTAAATTAGGTAAAAGTTTATCAATTCTTTTTATCTTTTCAAAGAACCAGATTTTGGTTTCATTGATTTTCTGTATTGTATCTCTTCTCATTTTAAATTTTATTGTGGTCAGTATTATTTCCTGCCTTTTGGTTACTGTAATTTGCTTTGGTTTTTGTAGTATCATAAGATGAAAGGTTGTGTTACTGATTTGAGATTGCTCATCTTTCTTAGTGTAGACATTTAGAGCTATACATTCTGCTTTCAACACTGCTTTTGTTATATCCCAAAAGTGTTGATATATCATTTTAATTTATTCTGAAGATTTGATGAGTTTTTAAAAGGAATGTAGCATTTAATTTCTATATATTTTTGTTTGCCAATTATTCTGTAATTGATTTCCAATTTCATTCTATTATGGTCTAAGTTCAGAACTGACATTATTTTTATCCTCCTAAAATATTAAAGGTTTTTTTTCAGCCTGGCATCTTGTCTTCATGGAATCTGTTCCTTGTGTATTTGATACAAATGCATTTTTGTTGGGTGGAGCATTTGCAAATACCTGTCAGGTCTGGTTGTTTTATAATATTTTTCAAATCTTACATTTCCTCGCTAATTTTCCATTGAGGGGTTCTTAAAGTAAGGTATTGGAATCACCACTTCTTACTTTTGGATTTTGATTTCTCTTTTCACTTCTCCTAGTTTTTGCTTTATATTATGGTGCTCTATTACTAAGTGCATATATGTTTGTAATTGTTATGGGTTTTTAATTGATTGATATTTTTATTAGGCTAAAATATTCCTTTATTTCTAGTAACATTTTAGTTTCAAAATATATTTATTTTGTCTACTGGGGATATAGCCCAGTGGCATAGCACCTGCCTGGCAAGTGTGAGATCCTGAGTTTGATTCCCTATATATATATGTATATATTCTGATGTTATTATAGCTACCTTGGCTTGCTTTCCTGTGACTGTTATGTGATGATATACTTTTTGCTATTTTTTTCTTAAAGTTATTTTTGCCTTTGAATCTTGACAACATACAGTTGGATCAGTGTTTTTTAATGCAGTCTGACAATCTCTGCCATTTGATTAATTACTAAATCAATTTCTATTTAAGATTAAGATTTGGAGCCTGAAGTCACTTAGGGTGCTATCGTTAGAAAGAATTAGTTGTGGGACCCTGGTTAGTTCTTGAGATAGTTGCTCCAAAGTAACAAGCATGATTCCTCCGTGATATCTGGTTTTTTGTCTTACCATGCATTCCTGTCACTTTGATGCCATCCATAAAGAGGTCTTTCAAGAGCTGAGAAATCTTGCCGTATTCTCAAGCTACCAAAACTATGAGCCAAATAAACCTCTTTATAAGTTAATCCATCTCTGGTATTTTGTTATAGCTGTGGAAAATGGAATAATACAGAAAATTGATATCAAGAAGTAGAGTTGTCGTTATACCTATGGAAGTTGCAACTGTTATAGTTCATGTGTAGATGAGCCTCATGTGCCCATAGGTGGGGCTTTTGAAAGATGATTGCATTATGGGGGTACTATAGGTAAATGTGATGTTAGCAGATTGGGTGTGGTCAGGAGAGGCAGGTCTCTGAGGATGTGACCTGGGAGGGAGCCCCTTCCTTCTCTCTCTGCTTTCTAGCTGCCATGATGTGATGAACTTTCTTCTACGCAGGTCCTTCTACCATGCTGCCAACCATGCAAGACTGAAACCTCAAAGTGAGCCAAAATAAAACTCTCCTCTTTTAAATTGTGGATGCTAGATATACTGGCTGCCTACGTGACTTCCTGAACATATGGTTTAGAAGCCTTTGGAACTGGTTTTCAGGAGGAATTTGAAAAGGCTTGGAAATGCTATAACCCAAGCTTGATGAGAGATTCTAGTCAGAGCCCAAAAGATTAGAATGCTGATAAAAATGCAAATAGTAAATACCAAGCTCAAGAGGTTTTATCTGGGAATAAGGATTCTGTAGACACCTGGATTTGAGACCATGCATGTTACATTGTGGCAGAAAATTTGACTACATTTTGCTCATGTCTTGAAACTGAGATTAAGGGTAACAGACTAGTTATTCTGTTTAGGCTCTGAGTAACACGTTGGCCATTTTTTAAAAACCATGATACACAGTAACAACCATTGTTATTCTGTAATTATTTTTTATGAAATTTTGGTTTTTATAGACATAAGGAGAGTGTTTTGACTATTTTCTTTATTAATATTTATCTGTATTTCATCAAAATAAATAACTAAAAAATTAAAAATTAAAGCGCTAAAAAAAGTCTAGTGGAGTAAATTTTAACACAGTCCAGCATTCAGGCAATGGTGAGTTTTAGCCATGTTTGCACTACAAATTAGAAGGAAGAACCCATTTAAAAGTTCTCAGTTTTGACAGAAAGGAAGTGTCTATAAGGAGGAAACATAGGGAAACTTGGTTGCTAAAATGGTTAGTATTAAAAAGAAGCCAAGTACTTTTCATCAAGACAATAAGAAAGATGCACATCCTTGATGAACATAGATATAAAAATTGTTACAGGAATACTAGCAAATCAATCCAACAAACACATAAAGAAGATTAGGGAATCAAGTTCAGTAGCACACACCTATAGTCCCAGGTATTTGGGAAGGTGATGCAGGAGGACTGCCTGAACCCAAGAGTGTGAGGCTGGTATGGTTAATAATAATGACACCTTATATCTTACTTATTATAATTCAGTGGGATTCATCCTAATTGTGTAAGGATGACTCAATATACACAAATAAGTAAATATGATACACCATATCAGCAGCATGAAAGCCAAAATTCTTATGATCATCTCAAAAGATGCAGAAAAAGTATTTGATGAAATTCAGCATCCCCATGATAAAAACTTTGAACAAATTAAATATTGAAGGAACATACCTTACTATAATAAAGATGATGTACAAGTCAACAGCTAATATCATACTGAATATGGAAAAGATCTTTAACAAGACAATGATGTTTACTTTCACAACTTTTATTCAGCATAATACTAGAACTCCTAGCCAGAGAAATTATGTAAGAGGAAGAAATAGTGGACATTTAAGTTGAAAAGGAGAAAGTCAAACTGTCACTGTTTGCAGATTAAATGATCTTATATATAGAAAACTCCAAAAAGACTACCAAAAGATAAAAACAACAACAAAAAAAACCAAGCAGAAATAATAAATTCAGCAAAGTTTCAGGTTAGAAAGTCAACAGAGGAAAATTAACAGCACTCTTTGGTATTAGGAACAGGAGAGAAATGATGATGTGAACGTTACTGCTTGCAGTACTGTAATGAGGCATGTGTCGTGCTGCTGCTGTGGAGACCTCCTTCAGCTGTCGATCTGTGGCAAATGAGGCCACCATTCCAAGAGCCAAAGAAAGTATAACTGGAATGCCCAAACTAAAAGACAAAATGCCACCAAGACTGATTGAATGAGATAGCTAACAATTAAATGTTGTAGGTTCAGCCACAGGTCCTGTGGAGGAGCAACGCCCAGGTCCACGTCGGCAGCTGCTGTAGTCCAAAAAAGAAATCAAGAAAACAACGTCATCGACAATTGTTACAAAAAACCATAAAATTCCTGGGAATAAGTTTAACCAAAGACACGAAAGATCTCTATAGTGAAACTGTAAAACAATTATGAAAAGGAAAAGGAAATGGAAACTATTTAATGTTCAGGGATTGGAGAACTGATAGTTAGAATGCCAAAGTGAGCCACAAAGTTGGTGTAATCTCTATCCAAATACCAATGACACCTTACAGAACGAGGGAAAGCCCAGTATTTGTGTAAAACTAAGGCTATTGCA